ATCTGGAGGTAGCTGTGCAAATTACATGCTTACCACCCTTCTCAAGGAAATTATGAGCTTCCAGGAGAAGTGTGTGTCTGAATTTGAGATCCCTGATCCTCAGCCAGGCAGAGAATGGCTGCGACACAAGGCCCTTCCAGTCTCTGTGGCCAGGCTTCCATCCCATCAGAGGTAGGGAAATGAAGGCTGTGTCCAGCAGATGAGTTCTGCTACAGAGACAGGACACGGCCAAGGCATGTACTTGGTCCAGAAACATCCCTAAGCAATGCGGTTTTGACATAAGTTTTGCATGTCTTTGCCATCAAAAATGAAAGCTTATTTAGAGAACAGAGAGCATTTGTTCCCATGAGCATTTTAGAGATCTTGAAATTTTCCAAATTATAGAGCGTGTTGTACTAAATGAAAGTGTATTGTTACATACTGCATAGACAACAAAAGAGGCAGCAGCATCTGGCACTGTGGCAATGTAGTTTCCATCTAGATCTGGATTATCATTTGCTTATCTGGTCCCCTCTGAGCCAAAAACAATATAATAGGTCTAGGAAAACAACATAATAACAAGGTATGAAGATACCAGTAGAGATTAAATGGGCCAGGGTTCTAAGCTGGCAGAGATAAAATTTATAGAAGAGTATAGGGGAGTAGGATAATGAATGTCACAAGGGAAATGAATGGGCAGTAATTACTTGTTTTCTTTGCAACATAAGGACTGCAGGGCATTGAAGAAAACTTATAAGTAGATGTTTTATAAGAGGAAAAAAATCATTTTTCCACTCAACATATCTAACTTGTGAAACAAGATGTTGCAGTGTTGCAGATTAAAATAAAGAGATCCAAGAGTGATTAGGTAAATTTGTGTAAGACCCATTAAATAGATCATTTAGAGCTATTCATCACAAATCTGTAAATATAACCTCCTGTCCAAGAAGTCCCTAAACTACAGCTTCCTGGGATCTCTGCTGGCATTCCAGAGGATTGCTAGACACAAGTCCAGACTTTACATAATGTCCCTAAAGAGCTGCCCTTTGTTTTGATGAAAACCCTTCACTCTTTGCTCAGCACAGCTAGTCATGCATTCCTAGGTCTTTCTTAGGCAAGCTGCTCAAAATGAAACTGTTGTGGGAATGAATAATGCTTAAACCATAAAAATTTTACAAATTTACTAGATCTTTGGTTTAACTGGTGTGAGGGGAACTCTGTTCTGTCACACTAATCTACTATAATTTTCAAAACCTCAGGATGCAAAAAGTACTTGAGGTTTTTTCTTCCACTTCAGATTTTGACTGTTGCTAATTTGTTCACAGGGGGAGAAAATACATAAAAAACACACTGCACATTGGAAAACAAATAACAAAAAGCAGAAAGGTTGGAGGAAAAGGAACTATACATTCTCACATACATTTCATCTGTTGATGTCATCTGTGCTTGTATTTTATAATTGGGAGTAAAAAACTGGTGTAGACATGTATGTAGGTGTACACATACACTTCAGACTCTTCTGTCCTGTATGAGGAGCAGGAGGATCCAAGGTACCCACAGCTCAGGTTGTAACGCAGGCTAAGATTAGAAAAGGAGGGAGAACATCTCACCTGGAGATAAACTAGCAGAGAGTCTTATGCAGGCAGCTCCACCACAGGCTGCATGACTTTCTGTCCCCCACGTGAGGATCCCCATTTCCACGTCCATGTTCCCAAATGTTCCTCACCTGCCTAACAGGAAGGGCACTGTACTTGAAAACCAACACAGCTGAAGACTGGGACCGTCCTTTGCAATTCCTGAATGCAGCAGTGGTGACCATGAATTGGTCTTCTGTGCAAGAAGCTGATGAGCAACAGAGGAAGCAGTTACTGAAAAATAGGCAGGGGGATCCACAACAAGACTTTGGAGTAAAACAGAGTCCTTTAATATTTCAGAGAGCAGACTGTGTGAGGGAGTTGAGTTGTTTTCCCAAAGATTTTAAACCTTTTCTGCCTTCCTAAAGTTTGCGTGTGCAGGAAATTCCTGTACTTTCTGCACTTATTTTGCACTTATTTGATCCACAAAAAATGCAACTCCAGTCTCCAGAGAGACATTCTGAGAAGGTTTTCTGAGGGGATAAGCCTAAGAGGTGGGAATGAATGTGCAACCCACTCTCAAAAGGGTTCCACGCTATGTTAGTGCACTGCTGGACACTGGTTGCACAAAGGGTGCAAACGTGTAGATTCTAGATTTGAAAACAATCCCTCCCAGCCCAGACTCAGTGACACTGGTACTCAGGAATTAGAGCTTTTTGTGACAGATTTGTGCCCATTTGGGGAGCAGGATCCTGAAGCCCAGGACCAACTTCTTCCCCAAAGAAGCAATTTTGTTGCTCCATCCAATTATAACCATTTTGTGTTACATGAGACACTAAGGCTCTTTGGGAAACTAGTACTTCCTAGAACCTTATCGTGGCCTTGGCATGGAGAAAGGATTCAGATTTTTTCTTTTAATATTCCCCCTGATACTAATCTGCTTTAAATGCAGGTGACTTTATAGAAGTAGATCCCACCTGTGACAGGAGGGAGATCAGAATACTTACTTATTAAGAACTTTTAAATCGTGACACGTGAGTTAGAAGCAGTGAAGTGTTCTGTCATCAAAGCAACAGGGGCCAATAAAAATTAGCTTTGGCACTTTGGGGCAGAAATAGTGTGATTTGAGCTTTCTTTTTGCAGTGACTATAACTAAACCATAAATGTCTGGCTGGATAAGCAAGAGAAGTGTCATTAACTGCAGGGACATGGTGCAATGACAGTCTAGCAATTAATTTTCCATGGCTGTCCTGTGACAGCAAATTTCCTGCTTACACAATGCTGGCTCGTCCCAGTCTATCACAACACTTTGTGTTTTCCAGGCTCTGGCAGAAGTGACAGTATGCTAAATGTTCCTTTTATTCTGCAGCTGAACTGGAGAAAGAAACATGTTAAAGCTTGTCATGGTCTCCCAGATATATGTATTTTATATTCATTACTAGAGTGTAAACAACCTGTTTTGCAGGAAATGCTCTAGCCTGCTTTAAAAATACTTTCATTTCACTTTTCAGTTGTTTCAGCTCCCCACCTTTAAAGCCTATAAAGAAGAGGTGGTGTTGACACCCCGGGGAACATATGTATGAATGTAAATACACTGTATGAGTCTGTAACTCATTCAGAATATTTCTTAAGAAGGCACCTGTTTAAATAAGACGTGAAAGTCTGTAATGCAATATTCCCTCTGTGAATAATGTAGCAGAAACGTTACAATGAATAACCAGAAATGCGGGAGTTTCCAGCAATCCAGTTTAATAGTTTCTTCGTATGTCTGTATTTAAACATCAAACAGACTTCAAACAAAACAAAAAAGAGTAATATACAATTCAAGAAAATACCTAAAGCTATTACAGTTTTGGTTTCCCCTTAGTTGATTTACAGTTATGTACAAAACTGTCTTATTTGCAATATCCAGTAATGATTTAATGATTTATTTACATCAGCTGGTGCCTTTCACTATGCAGTGGAACAGTGTCCTTTTCTCATTTATATTCATAGTTGCAAGAGCCAACATTTAGAGGCTATTTATGGATAGGATTAAGAGATGGGCTGAAACAAGGCAAGATTCTCACTACTGACCTCCAGCATTCTCTGAAATCCCATTTTCAGATATAGCTGAAGGAAGACTCTATCCCCTAGTGCACTGATAATCAGTATACCAGTCAGCATAATAAGGGATCTCCACTGAGAATAACATTCCCACTGATGTCAGAGGGAGATATATGTGAGCTGGAGGAATAGTAAATTTTAAGCAGACAAATTGTATAACTCTGGTGCTAAAGTAAGGTGCACCTTACTTCTCCTGTCAGAAACCTCCTAAGCAAATGAAGACATAAAGTAGGCTCTAAGTGTGTGGAGGGGAATACTTTCCAATTTTTCTTACACAAGAGATAAAATTAGAAGGGGGAAAATATAATTTTATCATAATATGCAAACTGTGTCATAGAATCACTGAATAATTTGGGTTGGAAGGCACCTGTGGAGGTAATCTGCTCCTAGTGGTTCAAAGCAGGGCCAACTTCAAAGTTAGTCAGCTTTCAATTTAGTGCAGATTTTTCAGGGCCATGTCAAGTTCTAAATATCTCTAAGATGGATTTTGCACAACCATTGAGCACTTGTTCACACATTTGATCACCCTTATGGCAAATAAATTTCCTAAAACCCAATCAGGAATTTCACCTTGAAAATATAATCTAACACACATGGAATAAATCATAAACTGTCTACTGATAAACAAGAGTCTTACAGCATGTATAAACCAAGTATAACAAGCATTATTCTTCCAGATTTCAGAAGGAAGAGTTCATTTTTTCAAGATATATTCAGTATCTACTCAGTAGTTTAACACCACTTGGAATCTTTCCATAACTTAAATCACAGCACAAGATATGCACCATTCATGATCATCAAGAAATACCAAAATTTCTCCCTCTTTTGTAAGCCCAGTATTTTGCACCTTACACAGCTGTTGCAGAACAGCAGGTTTATGAAAGCATGACTATATGCAGACTACTCACACAAAAGGCATGAGGGTTTCAGCTTAGGATCCTCTCAACTAAGAGGAAAACTGTTTGTTTGGGGAACAAAAGTCAGGACTCTGTTATAGCTACATGTACCTGATGTTTCTAAATCCTTTTTTTTGCCATTGCCTGCCATGCCTTTTGATTATCAAACTTGTTTTGTGTCTCCCAACGTGAAAGATGAAATCTACAGTAACAACAGCTCTTCACATCCAAAAGGGTTTTCTAATGTGTATAGAAAGGCAGCCACTCAATCTTTCCATCTCCACAAAATATTACACGAATATCTACAGGCTGTGTTCCCTTTGCTTCCCTCCCCTTGGAAAAGTAAAAAAAAAAAAAAAAAAAAAAAAAAAAAAAAAAAAAAAAAAAAACCAGACAAACTAAAATCATCTCAGTCTTCATATTCAGCCTTAAAATCCACCTGTGGTACATCTTGCTTCACAGTGATTTGAACAAATATAGTCATATATGACAAAGTGCTGTATCCAACCTGGAAAATCTCATGGAAACATTGGCGTCTTACACAATATAGATTTTATGACAATAATAGTCATGACTGGAATACAAGACTACTGACATGTGCATGTATATTGATCATAACTGCTGACCAAGGTATATGGAGCTTCATAATTAGAACTACTTCTCTGATTTTATATCTTCAGAAGGAAATAGCAAAAATCTTCCACGTTAGTTGTGGGCATCAAAATAAGTCATGCTTTTTTTTATTTAGAGAGATAAATTTTTATTATTTTTTATATCTAGAGAGACAAATAACACCAAAAGAAACACACATTGAGAGGCTGGTGGGTTCATTCACATGGGAGAACTCATTCATTGCATTTAGCAGAAGTAAAAATAAGGTTTTCCCTCTATAATCCTCTTATAAATTCCAATCTTCAATAGAGTAAATGAGATTCAAAATATCCTTTATCCCGATAATACAGATGCACTGAGTAGCTCCAACCACCAGCATGAGAGAGGTGTGTGGAGGGAAAGAAATGTAAAATCACATGTTTAAAAAGGGTTTCTGATTGCTGTGGGAATCATGACAGCTGAATGGAGAAAATGTTCCATAGGCATTTTACCAGAATTACAGGATGCAGGAAGATGTTGCCTTTCCAGTCTCTTCCCTGGTTTGGTTTTGTTATCTTAATATTTGTTTGATAAGCCACAGAGCATTCTCAGGCTATAGCAACAAATTATCTCTTTGAAGGTCTTCCTCATTTCCTGGCTACGAAAGGCGTAGATCAAGGGGTCGATCACCGAGTTGCACATAATGAGGATGAGGTACATATTGAAGTGAGACATGAAGCAAACACAGTAGAGGTTTTGAGGGCAGGAGATCATCAGGATGAGATGAAGGAAGAATGGAGCCCAGCAAACAATGAAGATGCCAAGAAGCATAGTCAGAGTGATGGCTCCTTTCATGCTGGTTCTTTGACGGACAGAGTTGTACCCAGGCAAAGCTGCGATTTTCTTCACATGAGTACGAGCCAGGAGGAACATATGGATGTACAGTGAGACCATGAGGAACAACATGGTAAAAAACATAGTGATGAGACAAATGACCACGTAAGTTGATTCATAGTAAAGAATGAAGATAATGCCACAGCCCGTGCAAAAGGTCCAGATGCATGCAATGATGAGCCCCGACCTTTTCACTGTCATGATGTTGTGATAACGCAGGGCATAGAAGATAGTGATATATCTGTCTACTGCTATAGCCAGCAAACTGCACATGGAAGCCACCACAGATATGCAGATCATGGAATCAAAGACATTGTCTATATGACGGACAAAGGCATCTTCCATGATGATGTGTCTATTGTTTATTAAGTATATGGTTATGGTCTCCCAAGCATTAGACACACTAACCAGCATGTCAGCCACTGCTAAACTGCAAACAAAAAAATACATGGGTGAGTGCAAGTTCTTGTTCTTAACTATTGCACATATAACTAGTATGTTTTCAAGGAGGCTTACAATGCCCAGAGTTAGGAACACCTCAGCTGAGATGACCACTTGCTCACATGGCGATGACTTGCTCTTCGCAGTAGGCACAGTAAAGTTGCTACCGAAGGCACTCAGGTTTAGTTCAGAAACATTGAATTGAGAGGATGTGTTCATCTCTGGGAGCTAACACATTCTGTTCCTTCTGAAGGGCTTGCCAAGGAGTGTGGTAAATGCATTTTCCAAAAGGCAGAAGATCCTGCCTAAAAAAAAACATAGCATGACAATTACAGGCAGAAGTTGACAACATAAATACCAGCCATTTCTATTTAATTTGGCTTGTACATGTCTCACCTCTTCCACACGACATTCCTTCACTGATTCTAAATTAAACTTTGATTGGCTCAGAAATTTTCTACCTATCCTTACTGGGAAATTAAAATCACAAACTGATTAAAAGATTCCTGCACTGTTCATTCATAGTTTTGTTTATTCTATCTGGTTCCCTGGAGTACTGCCCCAGAATGTCCTAGAAATTCTGCTGAAAAGCAAACAAAAAACAGTTTTCCCAGTCCCAGCTCTCAGACCCCAGAAATGCAGGAGGATGTGACATTACGTCCAGCAGAAACCCCTCACTTGAATACAATATAGAGAAGCTTCTATTATTGACACAATAAAGGATTTAACATTTTCAGTAAAAGGTTTAAATGCTTTCCTGACCTTTGTACATTTAATTCGGCATGAACTATATTATAAACAGCTTATCTGTGCAGTGTTAACATGCTCATTTAAAAGCACGGTATTAAAGACCTAACCAAGGCAAATCCATACATTTCAGGACACACTAAGGTTACAGAATTGGTGTGAGTAGATTTCTATTGTAAAAGAAGTTTTCTCTTCCAAATCCAGAATATTTTATTCAATGGTTTTCTGGTAATGACAATATTTAGGGAAAGCTGTAAGTCATCACATTTTCAATAAAGGGAACATTTAAAGCTGATTGTCAGTGACTTGTTGCAAATACAAATTCAAAGCATATCATGCTAAACAATTTTCAGTTTCAAAAAGCCACTTTATATTTGCAATCAAGACTTTACTGTACCTATTTACCAGAGCTGCTCCTTCGGCTGCTTTTCCTTGTCTGCAACGTTTCCTCCAGAGAGCCGAAGTTTCAGCCCCCCTGGCATCTGGGACTGCAGACTCCTTGGTGGCAAAAGATGAAAAAAAAATAGAGGGAAAGGAATTAGTAAATCCATAGAGTCAAAGCTGACCACGTTTAAATTACTTACTGTGCAACTGCCTTTTTATAGACTCCAAGCAATAATGACTTCAGTACTCAAACTGTGGCTCCTCCTCCCCTTCTTTGCCCCCCTGGACTTCTCTTGCCACAAATCTCATAGCAAAGGCTTGGGTTTTTACCACCATCTAGTGGCCTTCCCCTCTCTTTCTAACTGAACAGGGATTCTGATCTGAAATTCATTATGAGCTTTCTATAATATTAAAGGGGGAAAATGGACCAGACATGCTCCTTTCCTTTGTTTTCTTTGTTGTTCCTAGTACACTGACAATAAGTTCATCCTACAATAGTACTTCAAAAGAGGAGAAAAGACTATTCTTGAAATGGGAGGCTTATTACTGCTATAAACATTTTTTCTCATATTCAGCTTTGCTGGGATTTTTCAGAAATAAGAACCCCACTGTTATAAAACTTACAGAACATACAGTCAAACCCACCATGCCACTAATATAAAATATATTTAAATAATTTGTATTAAAACAATTGAACAAATAAACAGCTGTGTTCTGTGCCCCTTGCTAGAATAGAGATTTCAGTGCAGAAATGGAAGGAGCAGCGTATCATGCCAGGAGCCTGGGCTCCCCAAGATGGATGTGAATTCCCCCAGGGGCCCAAGAGTTGCTAAACTCAGTGCTCAGTATTCCAGTGGCTGAAGTTCCTCTGTGGGTGTAGCAGTCAGGCAGCCAATGCTCCTTCTGGGCCTTGCCCAAAAGGTTCAAGTCCTTAACAAATGGTCTCTGCTTCCAGGTGCAGGCTGGGGGATGCAAAGCACAGACCTTCCTGACACTGCCAAATGCCCTTCTCCTTAGCTGATAACCACACAGTCAGACCATGCAGGATCTGAAGTTAACTTGACACAGGAAGTCTCTGCTTCTCCAAATCACCACTTTTCCAAAAATCAGGGGGTTGAAGTTTTTTCATGGTGTATAACAGATCCAATTGCTTCTTTTTAACCTATAGCATTTTTCTTAAAGCATCACCACCAATAAATCCTAATTTTCCTGTGCCACTTTGGTGTTTTCATTGTTCAGCTAAGGTTTATCACTGAAAAGCAGATAAATCCCTATTTCTAATTAATGTACTCCACAGTAGGTTTCTCTATTGTCACTGCTTGCTTCACTCTAACCCTTCACTCTAGGGATGCAGAAACACCTGGGCCATTATATGAAATATTTTTATGTACAAATAGTCCCTGCACAAAGGGTGACAATGAAAAGCATTTTTTTATCATTTTGAGTAAAATGTGGCTCTTTTAGCATTATAGAGTTATAGTCAGGAGATGAACTTTGCCTATCCCTTCTCTCCAGTACTGGAGAGAAATGATCACAAACTAGAGGTCACGAACTATGGTCAAGTGCAGCTGTTAAATCTGAGTGGATCATGCCATCTCCTGAACACACACACTGCCTGCTGTATCTCACCTGTGTGCCAATTCTGAGCTCTTAGTTCTTTGCTATGACCAAAAGAAAAGAATAGAAAAAGATCATCTGCAGTCCTCTTTCTGTTCTTTAATGTAAAGCATGTTTTTGGTAACAAGTTTTCAGCAAAGTTAACTTACCTCAGTTAACTTTGGTTATCTTTTCCATAGCTTTTGATTTTCCCATTGCAGATCCTCTAACTCAGATACCTAACAGTAAATTTTACTTGTTCCTGTGTTCTTATATCTAGCAAGAGCTGTGCAGGCATTGTACTCTTTCCCTTTCCAATTACTTCTCTTGCAGTACCCAACTTGCTTTTTGCTGTTGTATATCACATTTTCTCTTGTTAGGTTCAGTTCATTCCATTTACAAATTGCTCTGTATATTCAGTTTAACAAAGTTCTTTGCAGGCCAGCTGAACTGCTTTACAAAAGTTTTCAGTGTACCTGGTAGGGCTCAGCAAACCAGCCAATTGCAGGAAATTAATTATTCATCAGACTGGGTGGTTTGGCTGTTATTCCTTAGAGCAATGCCAAGTTTCTTACATATAAATTATGAATCAGCATTTGGATTCTTCTTCCACAAGCCAGACACTGCAGGTGTAAACCTTGGTACAATTGCTTATGCTACACCAAAAAAAGTCCCTTATTTACAAAACTTGCAGAAAAATTGCCTGCCTGGAAACTGGGTAGTGGTACAGATGCATTTTTTTCTTATGTTAGAGGATTAAGTGAAAAAAATACTTCCCTCCAAAAAAGAGTTCTATTATTATATTGCTGCAGTAAGCAGCTCTTTAGTGCTATAGCTTGACAAGCAGGTAACTGAAAGGACACCCAAACAGCAGTGAGTGGAGGCAGGCAAGTGAGTTATAAAGATTTGAATTAAAAGGGTATGGGAGCAGATCTTTGGATTCTCTAGGGAAGAATCAAAGAACAACTTCTCAGCTGCAGGACTCCTGAATGAATTGGCTTGGGTTTATGATCTCAATGTTCAGCTCCCTCAACCAAGAAATTTCTTTGGGTTGTAGGAAAAGAGATTGAAAGTGCTACAGAAAGACATCAGTGAATAGCAGAAAGAAGTAAAATAGGATTCTGACAGAAAAAGAGAAGCCAGGACCTGTCTCAGTCCCATGCCATACTTTTCAGCTGTGAAGTGGTTGAGAGAGAGCAGAAGCCACTCCAGATACATTTGTCTCTCAGGCTTTGTCACCAACCAGATTGGGAGCCATGACAACATCGCTGGCAGAAACAGCTGGGCCCTGCTTGCCATCAGCAGCACCAACAATCCCAGCCAGAATCCCTTTTGCCCTGCACATCCACTGGAACTACACTGACGCATAGGGCAAGTTACATCACGTCCAAACCAGCAGGGAATTGCCATCTGAATGATAGCAAGATACTGATTTTATCAATAAATGGATAAATGAGGCCAATGGAAGGACATGTTCCCAAACAAGTTTCTATAGAAGAGTTGGTTACACTCAGATGCATTCTGGTATTAATCTATGCTAATCTTAACAGGTTCAGAGAAGTGTTGGTGGTGTTAATAAAAATTTACCAAACTTGTCTAGTGCTAACACATGTAAGAAATTCAATTCCAGTATCCTTCTGCAGCTCTTTTTATCTATTTGATGAAAATGTCACATATTGTTTCACATAACATAACTAGGATTGGTGCTCTTGGCCTATTTATGAAATCCCTCTTCTGTCTAATTCTTGTCTATGTTGTCATCAGCAGAATATTTCAAAGTCACAGAGGATCCTTCCAGACTGCTCTAAGAGATAACCTGTGCATGTGCCAAAAGGGAAGATCATGGCCTTCTCTGCATTCAAATCACATAACAAATGTTCTTTAATTTCTCAGACCGAGAAAACTATTTGTCCTGGCCTGTGTACTGAGTAGCCTTGTCTGAGCCCCATCAAGGTCCTCACTGTTAGCTCCTCAGCATTGCAGTCAGTTAGCCTTTAGGAATGACAGCCAATTCATTGAGATTAAAAAAAAAAAAAAAAAAGGCTTTATTACTCCTTGTCCTGAAATAAAAAAGCTGGATGAAATGATGACAGACTGCCAGTATTTCAGTCCTCTTGTCTGCCCAGGGGGTGTCTAAAAGCCTAAAAGTAAGGCTTTGCAGTAAGCAGTGGCCTAGTGAATACTTTCTTTTACCTCATGGCCCTAATCTTCAAATCAACATCTGATCTTTTGTATTTTTTTCAGAAGGAAAAGGAAGTCCGAAAAAAGGCATCAAAATATAAAGTAATCTGTGCCCTGTTAAGGGTAGGATCAGCCATACTTAGCATGACTGTACTAGCACTTTTGGCCATCAACCCCTTCAGCTGAGTCCTTCAAAATGGTTTGAGATAGTCTCTGGCCACTCTCAGTTAGTGCCTATCAGTGGTGCTTCTTGCATTAGAGTACAAAGCTGAGAAAGATGCAGTATGGTACAAAAAGCATTTAAGAAAGATTTATCCTAATAACTTAAAATGGATGATGTTGTAACCAGCCTCCCAAACTGTAAAAGAGTGATTAGAGTTTTAGTAACCATCATTTTTATGTGCCACTAAATGGAGCAATGAATCACCCCCTAGCCTTGTGCTAGAGGGTGGGTCAGCAGTGCAGACCTGGTGAATCAGAAGGGCCACCTGCAGTCTCCACAAGGCACAGAGAACCAGCAGGAGACTGTAGAACTTTCTGACAGGAAAGAGAGATGATTCCATATTATACAAACAGACTGGGATAAAGAAAAAACCAAACCAGCAGGTGCTGATTTGATACTTCTTTCTGGAAGGACTGGTTGAGACCCCAGAGTAATTTACAGCCCTTTAAAGGACCTCAGTAGGTTGGAGAGATGAGCAAAGAAGAGTCTGAAATACAACAGAGGCAAATGCATGGTCCTACTAGCAAAGAGCAAACCTTCCAAACACAGTGCACTGTGCTTAGATCATCCTTAACCACTTGATTTTAGTACAAAGTACATGCTCAAATCTACTTTATTTGAGTGTAAAGAGGCAAGAATTCCTTGGAGTGAGTGACAAAATTCTGATTTCTGATTTTTTTATAAAGTGCTGGTCTAAAGAGATCCCTTGAAAAGCTGCTCACTTCCATCTTCCTTTCCTCCAGATAAGCAGAGGAGCACAGCATGAACCCTTCCCTGGGAGCACTGCACTCCCCACCCTTTGGGATGGCTTGCTTTGAGCAGAGGGCCTTGACAACTCAGTGTCTCTTTGTCCTGTGCTGTCTCTCTAGTCAAGTGTTGGTATTTTAACATAGCATGAACATGGAAAGGTAACAAAGCAGCTGAAGAAAAACCTCAAGGAGATGCACAGTGAGAATTATCCTTAATTCTCCATCTCACAGAGACATTGCTACACGCAGAAAACTGCAGATGCAGTAATGTGTGCATGCTGCTCCTATTAAGGCAAGTGCAAATATCTCTGGTTCAATGCACATGGTAACTAACCATGGATCCATGTGCTACACTGGCAATTTTCATGAACACCTGGGCAACAATATCAACATTTTTCTCTTTTGTAGTGTTCAGTGCTAATCTAATATCTCTGTACTCATACATAGGTTCTTTCCTCACTCTCTGTACCAGTTGGCAAAAAATGCAGCTACTTCCTATTCA